AATGAAGATGAGAAATCACTGAATGATTTTAGCATGCACTGACATGGACAGGTGGCTAAATGTAAATAGATCGTCTTGGTAACTGGATAGACTATGAAGTAGGAGTGGAGAATGCAAATAGGAAACTGTTCAGCTGTCCAAGGGAGGGACTATAAAGCCCCTAAATAAGACAGTGATGTAATGGGAAATATGTTAAAAATTTTATGGTAAAATTTGCATGACTTGCTAATTAATTTTATGGCAGTGAAATGAGAGATGTGACTAAGTTATAGATGACACTTATGTGAACATACACAACTAAAGAAAAACCTCAGGATACATGACATGAATGCTCTATTATTTAACAGCTTAAAAAAAATCTTCTGCAAAGGGCAAAGAGGATTTAGTGAGAAAGGCCAAATCTCCTGCCTACATGTACAATAATAATGGCATTTTAGTCCACTTATAAAAATGTTCAGTTTCATTAAGCTTTGCTTTAGATTGTTAGTCTATAGGCCAGAAAAGTAATGCTGAGATCCAGAGTCAAAGTGATGTCAAAATTTACTAATGTTGTCTGTAAGTTTTTAATTATAATTCTAAACTAAGATAAGTTCAAAATTTGGGGGACTAAAGTTTATACAATTTTGAGGGATGACTTTTTTTAAATGAATAAAAGAATGTATATTGATAAGGCTTGTGTCTAGATGTCCCCCAAAGCCTCATGCAGTCATAGGTGCAGCTTTTTCAGAGGTGCCTGGATCTAGAGTGTGTGACTGATTCATGGTGTAATCCTAAAATCAAGGGCACTAGGATTAAGGGTGTGAGTGCTACACACCCTAAGTAGCTTGGATAAGATAGGGATAGGAAAAGCTGTGGTCCCTCCCTTGCTTGCTTTTGCTGTCTTCTGCCTACAATGAACTGTTTCTCCTCTGTGATATCCCTCTGCCGTGTGCCACCCTGACTCGGAGCCAGCCAACTATGGGCTGAAACATCTACAAACTGTAAGCCATATAAACTTTTCCTCCCTTAGCTTTGGGTGTCTGGTATTTTGTCTCAGCAATGAGAAAAGTAACTAAGACACATATAAAACTCAGTTTTTACTTATGAAGAGAAAAGGATAGATTATATCTGGTGTGAGAAACTGAAAGTGTAAATAAGGATTAAAATGATTAAAACAAATAATTGATAATTTGAAATAGGAAGAAAAGGTCCAAATGGGTAGGGGAAGTGGGAGGGGAAGGGGAAAGGAAAGAAGGGACAGGAAAAAATATGAGAAAAGGAAAAAATGGAAACAAAGTCTTTGTAAATAGGGAAGGGTGGAGGGGGTGAAGGGCACACAGGAAATGGGGAAAAAATAAGAACCAAGATGCATCATGTACAGGTACAAGTACGCAATGATAGATGTAAATGTATTGTATACCTAAAATGTAACAATAAAAAAATTTAAGCCAAAAAAAGATAGATTATAGATATTTTTAAATAGTAAATATCACAAAAATCCAGAAATATTAAGATAAATAAAAATTTGCTTCTCCTTTTTTCCCCTATAAAATTCCTTGCACTTCTGAATGTCCAGGAAGATGGAACATTGAGGACAATAACCTCTCCATCTTCTCCAGGGCTCCCCCTAGAATAATCCTTCCTATCAATTATCATCTCCTGGATATTGGCCTTGAACAGTGAGCAGACTACTTAACACAGTAACATCATACTCTTAATTGGTAATACTTTGTAAATTTTCAGGGTTGCTGTCAAATTTGAAAAAAATATCAAGTTTCTTTCATAAATGACTTGGAATATTTCAGGATAGTTCAGGTTCCTGGGCAAACAATATTAAATTCTCTTTGAACTAATAGCAGTTACCGACCAGTTTCTCATAGATATCATCACTGTAGTGATATATTACAAATTTAATATTACTATTATCAGTGTCAGATTTTTCATGTTCCCTTAGGAAGAAGTGAATAAGAAATCCACATAGGCTGGGGATTTAGCAGAGTGGCACCATGCCTGCCTCAAAAGCACAAGGTCCTGAGTTTGATCCCTGGTACCAAAAAAAAAAAAAACAGAAAAGAAAAGAAAAAAGAAAAAGAAATCCTCATAGGTTTAGTTGGGTAAGGCCATTTCTGGCAGAAGGAAGAATATAAGCAAAAGTCTGTCTCTGCAACAACAAAGAGGCTATTTTGATACAGTGCACTATATAGGTAGAGAAGCAGTGGATGAGATCAGAAAAATAACCTAGAGTCAGGAATGGATAGCAAGTGATTGAGAATAGATGATCATGACCTGAATGAAGTTCATGTTCAAGAATCAAAGGATGATGAAAATCCTGTGTCACAAACCAGTCAGAAACTTTTAATTCATGTCTTTTGAGAAGTGAACACCAAGATGGAACTAGATACAGAAAGTATTTACTGAGGGAAATGTTCATGGAAAATAAGGAAGGAGAGTGGGGAGAGGAGATAGGGAGAGTCTTCCAAGTCATGATGAAGACTTGGCAAAGGAAAGACAATAAAGGAAGACTGGTTGGAAATACTCTTGGACTGCAGCAGAGTTCAGAGAAAGTCTCTGCCCCAGGACAAAGACTGCAATAAGAGGAATCCTTCATGGGCAGGAGTTGGCCAACTCTACAACTCTACCATAGTTCATCATTACTTGAGAGTAGCCTAGGGAAAGCGTGTTTGGGTGTGGTACTGTGATGGTTCTAAAGGTGTAGCACCTTGGGGAAGTATGCCAGGGTGTTCTCTAGAAGGAAGTTCTGAGCCATAGGCTTCCAGGATTGGCCCTCTAGCTATAGTTTATTTACAGAACTAATTGCTAAGCACATAAACCTATTCCAACAAATTCAAACTGAATGTGTCTCGTTCACATTATTTTTCGTGATATCCAACATCAAAACAGTCTTTTCCCACCTTAATGTCAGCAGAAATCAGTGGAAATATGACAGAAGAGAAGCTGGAGTGAAAAGACACCATGGTGTTAACTGATTTAAGAAGAAATAATTTTACAAATTTACAAAATTGTATGTTTCTGTGAAAATATTGCTGGAGACCTTGTCAGGACATTGGAAGGGATGCATGTAAACAAGGATCCTGAAATGTAAGATCTTCACAAATGTCCAGCTGTTTCTGAAAGTGGTAATGATTTCGTTTTATTGGACATGCACTACGACTGTGATTATGTCTGCCTCCTAAAGCCCCAAACTCTTGGCTAACTAAAATTGCCATAGAACCATCTGACCTTGAAAAATAGAAGAGCTGTCTGCTCTTACAATACAAAATCACCAAGTTTAATGGGACCAGCAGCTGTCATTTTTTAGCTTGGACTAGAGCTCACATCTAAGAGTCCAATTCAAGGGAGAGGTGGACACACACGAGGTAAGGATATTCAAGGTAGTGGCAGTTTTCAGTATGGTCATATGAGAACAATGCATAAAGTAAGTCCATAGGTGACAATTTAAAGAAGAAAAAAAATTAAAATTATGATCCAATCCAGGCTAAGGGGCTGATAAGATCTAAAAGAGGAACTCAGACTTCTAGCCAAAAGGCTATGAGTTAGGACAAGCCCCTAGACTTAGGAGAGGGAGTAGAGGGTAGGAAGAAGACCAGGAAGCCAGACCTCTTGACTAACAGACTGACTCCATAGTGTGTAGTGAGGAGGAGCAAACTAGATTGTGGATTCACTATCCCCAGAAGCCACTGGTAGGGAGGGTTTACTGAAGCACTATCACAGGGTCCCCATTGCCTCCAGGATTGAGCCTAGGAAGACAGATTTTATTATCTACTTGGTGGGTGGTGGCCAAACAGGGAAAGGTAAAAGGTAATGAATGGAGAATGACATTGCTGCTGGGCAAGTCTCTACAGAGAATGGAAGCTGCAGAGCTCTAAATATCCTGATCGGCATGCCCCAAATGTCCAGGTACTAATAAAGGGAAAACCTAGCCAAGGTGAGACCCGAGATACTCACATAGAAAGAGAGTTAGCAGAGGAGCATAGAGGCAGCAACTGCATCTGTACCCTACATTGGGCATTTTATCAGTATAAGTAGAGAGGCAAATAAGTCAGAAAATAATTTTGGAGAAGTCAAGAGACAACACAAATAATGAGAGAAATACCAGAGTTCCTCAGGAGAGCCAGAGACAAGTGACCTTTTGCATTTGAAGCATTTATGTAAAATCCAGGTGTAAGCAGCAAAGTTAACACATCTTTAAGTTTAAGTATCTCTTTCTTAAACAGAGTTAATTTATGTCCCAGGATTCTGGTTATTGGTCTCATGTTTCCCCTAAAAAACAACTTAGAACCTACAAGTGGGCAGAAGGAATTAGAGATACTTTCCAAGTATAAATTATTTATCACTTTATTTCACTCTCTTTTTACCTTCATTGGGATGCTTCCAAATTGACAAAGAAACCTATTTAGTGTTAATTGATTACCACTCTAAATTCATTGAGATTGCAGCAGTAACAGGCATCCTAAGTAGTTCAGCTAAGATTAGCTTTATAACATCACCGAAAAGGAGGCAAGATCTGGCCACAGCAGGCTTTCCTCATGACAGTAGACTTCCAGTCTCAAGTACACATGTTTTGAAACTCAATACAACAGTCTCAGGTTGTCTGAATGACAAGCTAAAATGCAGACTATCATCTCTGCAGTGGAAATGGGAATTAAGTGAAGAAAATAATCTTTTCTTGCCCTACTACATGTTGGATTAAAACTCTTGATGGAATATCTGTGGATAGATAGCATTAGAAAAGAGTTTTCTTTATTCAGATTTATGCCTCCCCCTAAAAAATAAGCATTAATTTTTCAAGTTAATTTTTAAAATGCAAAAGAACCTAACGTGGAAGTATGGGAAAATTCTAAAGTTTTATATGTTTTGTGAAAGAAATTACTGTAATATTATTCATTCAGTAGTAAGAAATTGCTGTAGAAACTGCTGTTCCCTAAAATTGAGAATATTTCATAACAAACCATAGTTAATTATAATAAATCCAGATGTCAGAGGTATGAGTATCAAAGAAAAATATAATTGAAATTAATATAATTAAAAACTTTGACCTGATCTACAAGAATGACAAGTTACATTACAAATATTAACATCAATTAATTCATTCAACAAACATGAATTAAGTTCCTAGTTCAAACCAGGCATTATTCTAATTATAAGCAAAACTGACAAAAAGCCCCTGTCTTCATTGATCTTACCATGCATGGCAGGATAGCGGATGTGGTGAGACAGACAATAAAAAAAATGTACTCTTACGTGGTGATGAATGCTACAGAGAAAACTACCACAAGAAGTGGAGAAAGAGCCTGAGGATAGTGTTGCTACTAAATAGCAAGCAATCCTAAAAGGCCTTTCTGATATAGTGATATTTCAGCAGAGACATCAAGAAAGTGTGGAAATAGACAATTGGCTTATTTGGAAGAAGAGGATTCTGTTCAGAAAGAACAGCAAGCAAAAGAAAACCAATATGCAAAAGTTCTGAGATGTGAGTTTGTTAGCATGGCAGAGGAACTAAAGGTGGCTAAAAGTGTACTTGACGCAAAGTGGATGGAAAAGAAAAGTAGAAAATGATGTGGTAGTGTTTAGATGAAACAGAGCTGGGACACCACTGTGTACACATCACATCTTGCATCATAATGGGCCAATCCAGTTCCTCTAAAGACAGGGAACCTGTGGATAAGGAGCAGGGAATGGGCAGGGCACTCCTCAGGGTTACTGAAGTAGTCCAGGAAAAGGGTGTTGTTAGGAGGGTGCAACCACATCAAGATGGGAGTCAAGGGCAACTGAGGTCCATGTCCCCAAACTGACATTTACTCAAGAGGAGAAGACTGCAATGGGAGCTGGAGCAGGCTGCAGACAGAGAAATTAGGAGTTTTGTTTTGATGGCACCAAAATTGAAATGGTAATTAGAAATACAAAGGGAAGTTCTGTGTGTGTGTGTGTGTGTGTGTCTGTGTGTGTGTGTCTGTGTGTATGTGTGTGTGAGATCTTTCACTGGTCATATTACTGAGAAAAATTATTCTTGCCACTAGTAAAAGATTGAATCCCACACTGAAAAAAAAAGTCAGAAGATGAGATGCCTGAGGCAGCATGGAAATACTGCAGGACTATTAAACTAAAAAGCCACAGAGCCATTCACTGGATGATCCCTCCTTGTCTCTAGACATTCTTCAGCGTCACTGTAGTCTCCCAAATAAAGAGTATGGCTAAATTCCATGAATGAATGACTCAACTCTACAAAATTCAAAGAGAATACAAATTCTCCAAAATCTCTCTCCACCAATAAAGCACTAACAACTAAAAGCTATTTTGTGGGCAATGACAATTTCCTTTTTTGGAAATTAGGACTTGCTTTAGACCTAGGAGTGACATTTCAGAAAGTCCTATCTTTGGCAAAAGATCACAGTGTAGGAGAAATGTACAAGTACTTGATCTGGTAACTTCAGTCCCGACTTTTCCAGCTGGACCTAGATTAGACATCCCAAATTGTGCCTACCTGTCCTTTTCATAAAGGACAGGAAATAATACTCTTATCACAGAGTTTATCTGAAGATAGAAAAATTTAAAAACATGTAACATGGTATATAATGTAATATAATTGAGAATATATGATATATTTAGAATACAGCATAGTTTTTAGTTCCATCCTTATCTACTCTAGGCTTTAAGGTGAGCTGGATAAGAACGAAGCCCTTTAGTGTGAAGAATTGATTAGTGAGGTAGCTAAATGAGTAAGCTCTCAACGATATGAATTGATTTGCACAATGGGAGGCCAAGGGAACTGCATTTTTAGCATCTATTATATACAAGGTATTTGGTAAACATTGGTCAAATTAATCTCCAGAACAAATATCCTGAGTAAATATTTTCATCATACAGTATTTTACAAATAAACTTAAGAAATTCAGGGAATTCGCACAAAAGCCAACAACCAGTAATTGTTTCTAAAAAAGTGCTTGATGGGGTAGTCACTCTACACTTCATCATTTTGTCTCCCTTGAGGCTGTTTACCACCCTGACTCTGTTGCCTAGGGCTGCTTTCTAACATGAAGGTAGGACCAGGTCACTAGTCTAAGAATAGCCTGTGACCATGACCCGTCTAGACTTTGGCTTGTCTGTGCCTCTCTTCTCTGAGTCCCACATGCCATTGTGCTCTGTCTGGACTTCAGTTTTTATGATCAAAGCCACTCTTTAAATCAATGTTATTCCTGATCAGTCACCTAGGCATGTCTGCAGCCAGCAGCCTAGTCTACAAATCTAGCCAGCCCTCTCTTTTGACCATTATTATTCAATTTAGCAAAAACATTGAAGTTGTCTTCAAGTGTTCCCCCCAAGTCACTCTTTACATGTAATCCATCACCAAGTTCTGTTATTTCTACATCTAAAATATGTCTTGAATCTTCCCTCTTCTTTTTCCATAACCGTCATTTCACTCCAGGTCAAATATTTGTTAACTCTCACCTGAATTCTGCAATAGCACCCTGAGCATTTTCTTCAGTCTCTCTGAATTTATTCTCCCAATTCTCCCATCCCAATTTATTCTCCACATAAAGCAAGATTTTTAAAAGCAGAACCTAATTATATGCCCCCTTAGAATATTTCCTTTACTTCCAGTACCCTTTTCTGTAGTGTGTACAAGCACTACCATGTGTAACCTGCTTCTTGCTTGTGCCTGTGTTTCCTCAGCCCAGCCATGGCTACTTCCTTTCATTTCTGGAAGAGACAAAACTCCTCCCTGTCTGAGACTCTTTCTTTCCTTTTTGGCCACTCAGGTTCCTGAAGAAATATTACCTTTCTATCTTTCGACCCATTTAAATTGCTTTAATGCAATTCTCAACCTGTAATTATAGAGTTGGTTGCCTAGAGAAAGGACAAGAGCCTTCCAGGCATGGTTAACAGAAAATATGGACATGTAGAAGGATTTTGCCCTGAGGCTGAAAAGAACTAATGTGTGTTTGAGAGAGTGAAAGAAAAAGAAAAACAATTTTAAAGACAATCTTTGTGTCTCCCTGCCAGATTGTGAATTCCATGGAGGCAGGACAATAGCTGTCTTATTCACCAAGTTTTAGTCCAATACTTACCATATATATAATCACTCAGTATAAATGCAGGACATGACTTAATGCCTATGAAATCAAATGCAACAGCTATGCTAGACACTACTAATTAGTATATACTCAGTTTGCTTTTATTCAACAGCACAGAATATAACTGATATTTTCCACAGACTTTTATGTTTGACTACCTCATATAAAAATGGATTACCTACAGTCACTGTTGCTTGCCTATGGATAATTTTGTAATAATCTTTGACCTATTTCTTCCATCCACAGTGCCCACCTCCCAGTTGTGTTCTCCATAGCCTGAAATGTTAAGTAGCCTTACTTTCACTAACGGAATTTCCTAAAAGTCAGTATAGTGGTGCTTATTTATGAAACGCTAATGAAGGCCTTATGAATAATGTATTGATACAATACTCATAAGACTGATTTTTGAGGGGGTACTGGGGCTCGAACTCAGGACCTTGAGCTTGAGAGGCAGGTGCCAGAATCACTGAACTAAATCCCCAGCCCAAGACTGATTTTTTAAATAAAATATATTTCAAGTATCTGCATTTGGTAAACCCAGAATTATTTGTACAATAAAATTTGCATTAATTTTAAAAACCCAAAGACATATTATAAATAGTAAATAATATATTTTAGAATTAAGCTAAATATAAAATAAATCCAATATGAATATTAAATAAGTTATTAATATTAAACATTTATTTTGTCTCTAAACTTGTGTTACATTATTTCACATATGTCTTTACTACTAAAGAAAATATACTTTCATGTAAAATCTACAAAAGATAAAAGTTATGTTCACTGAAATTAAGAAAACATTTCAATGACTCAGAGCTGGTAGGTGACAAAGCCAGTTTCCAAGTATTTGTGTTTATGGTGTCAGAACCTGAGTAAACATACCTGTTCTTAAAAGGGATCAATTACTCATCTATTGGTGAATATTAATGCTGCAGAAAAATAGCCCCAAGATCTCAGTAGCCTACACCAGTAACCACTTGTTTATTTCATTTCTGGGTCTATGTGTCAACAACAACATAGCTCATCTTGACTACTATCACTTAGACTCTTTTGGACTTGAGTGAACTCCAGGCTGTGTGTCAAATGCGGTCTGTGCATTTCTTCATCTGAGGTAGGAACCATCTGAAGCCAAAGATAGAAGTGGCTAAGATGAATGATACCAGGGAAAAGTCTAGCGAAAGCATCTGTTTATTGTCACATTGATTGGCCAAAGCAAGCCACATGGCCAGGTCCAATGTCAAGACAGCAAGAAAATAGATTTCCCTGAGTTGAATGAGTACAGCAAAATTACACAGAAAAATGAATGAATGTATAACCTATAAAATGAGAGAGTAAGAACTAGGGACAATAATATAATCTACTATAGCATTCAGATTTCCAGATTTTGAGTTCAAGGAGCACTCTTGGATCCAATTACTTAAAACATAAATACATTAGATCAACCATTTTAACACTAATTTATCAATAAAAATGCTTATTCTTAGATGTATGCTTATTTATAAAATTAAAGATAGATACATACAACAGTTTTGACTACACTATTAAACAGAATGTATCAAAAACAGAAGCTGAAGATTTCAAAATTCCCATAACCAAAGAAAAATTGATTAACAACGAGAGTAATTTTTAAAAACTTCCATATCAATCATCATTAGCTACTAAAATTTATCTTAACGTAAGAATTTATAGGTCTTACAAAAATATTAAAAATCAATGCAAAAATTAATTTAAGAATTTATTATGCTATTTAGTATGATGTATTAGAAGAAAGTTTTCAAATTCATAACTATAAAAAGGGTAGGAAATATCTTGATAAAGTTATCCATATTGCAGGGTCTTTGAAAAAAATAAGAAAGCACAATTTATAAACAACTTATCAAAGATCTTGGGTACAATTTTTAAATTTCTTTAATGCTAAAAAGGAAGTGAAAAGAGATAAATGCATACATAAAATAACTCAATTTCTAAAGACAAGGAAAGCAAAAATCAGCAGAACAAATGAAATATTTAAAAATCAAATGACAGTTCATATCTATTAAAAAACTAAGAAGAAATAGATATTAATTAAAAATATCCATCATATTATTTGGGGCACATCATTTCAAAAACTTTATCTGTATCTTATTGACACAAGGGAAAGGAAGGAAAGGGGGAGGGAGACAGGAAGGAAGGAAGAAAGGGAGGGGAACAGGTGGTTAGATGGAAGGAGGATAAACAGAGAATGACTTTATAAAACTAGAATCACAGCAATGTTACTTTTAATAAACAAATATTAAATTTCCTTTGAATTTTCCAGAGGAGATAAAAAGTAAAAGACAACTAAAGAAAATTTTCTTTACCACATGAGATATTAATATTTTAAAAATTAAACTAGTCCTAAATTTTTAAGAGATCAGAATTGTTGTACTATTTAGCAGATGTGTTCACTTTATTTTTATTTATTTTTTTGGTACTGAAGATCAAACTCAGGACGTTGCATCGCGAGGTAGGTTCTGTGCCACTGAGCTAAATCCCCAGCCCATGATGTGTTAACTTTAGAAGTGCATACTGATGTCCTGCTAGAAAAGATGAAGAAATTAGTCTGCTTCCAATTTTTCCCACCTCCTGACTTCTTAAAATTGTATTCCAATACTTCACCACGGTCTATACCATTCATATTTTCCAACCACATGCTCAGGCCAGCCAAAGTCACTTTCTTGTTATTCCTCACTCCTGCCTAGATCATCCCTGCCTTGAATTCTTTTTACTCACTTCTCCGTCTTCCTAACACACTCTGCTCACAGATATTTGCCAGGCTAGCATCTCCTTGTCATTAGTCTCAGCTCAATGTTACCCTCTCAGAGAGACTCCACCACTGAGCCTCAAAATACTCAGCACATCACCTTGTTTCCATTTCTGCAGAGCAATTATCACTATCAGAGATTCTTTTGTTCAGCACTTCATTTTCTGTCTTTTCACTATCATGTAAACTTTGTGACAGAAAGTTTTGTTCACCACTTCTATTTAGATCTATCAATACTTGTGAGAAAAACCTGTAATTTGCTCTAGATTACAAAAGCCTTATGTCAAATACCAGCAAGTTCTCTTGTCTCAAGCTAGGGATCAAGGGCTTGGGGAGCATGCTTAACATTTTGCAAGATAGAGTTGTCTATCTTCATGGCATACTGTTCATTGTTAAGGAGTTTACCTCCAT